GAAAGTGGGTAGTGGGTAATGAGTAGTGATTAGTGAGTAGTGAGTACGGAGTGGGGAGTTGTGCTTAGTGAATAGTGAGGATTGAGTAGTGGGTAGTGAGGAGTCAGTAGTGAGTAGTGAGTAGGGAGGATGGAGTAGTGAGTAGGGAGTAGTGAGTAGGAGTAGTGGATCGTGAGTAGTGAGTCGTGAGTAGTGAGTAGGGGGTAGTGAGAAGTGAGTAGCGAATAGCGAGTAGTCAGTAGTGAGTAATGAGTAGTGAGTACTCTTTGGGGCTGGGGTTGGTTGTTGGGGTTAGGATTAGGGGTTTTGGGTTAGGGTGAGGAGTAGGGGTAGGGGTGGCGGGGTCGGGTTCCGGAGTCAGGGGGGGGGCGGCGTGGCGAAAGGGGGGAGGGGGGGGGGGTTCGGACCCCCCCCCCTTTTGGAAGGGAGGGAGGGGGGGGGGGTCTCCTCGGGGAAAGGGAGGGAGGGAGGGGGGGGGGTCCCCGACGACGGATCGGGGAAGGGGGGGAGGGGGGGGGTTTCCCCGACGACGGATCGGGGAAGGGGGGGAGGGGGGGGGGTCCTAACCCCCCCCTTGGGGAGATCCAGCGGCGCACCCTCCTATAGTCCAATAGCCCTAGAGCCTTACAGCCTTATAGCTCTATAGCCCTCTAGCCCTCTAGCCCTATAGCCTTATAGTCCCAATAGCTTTATAACCCTTCATCGCCCTGATAGTTCCATAGATTTATACCCTTATAACCCTATTGCCATATAGCCCTATAGCCCTATAGCCCTACAGCCCTATAGCCCTCTAGCCCTCTAGCCCTCTAGCCCTCTAGCCCTCTAGCCCTCTAGCCCTTAGCCCTAAGGCCTTATAGCCTTATAGCCCTATAGCCCTATAGCCCTTTAGCCCCATAGCCCTATATCCTTAAACAGATCATGATTGGGTTTTTCTCTGCTATCATATATTTCCTGGTGGTGAGGGTTCCGACCAATCGAATTCAGCCGGCGCGGGAGGGGCCAGGGCTTCGGGGGGCCATCGGTGCTTGCATCGGCTCGGACAGGTGCCCGGGCGCAGGCACGGCCTCCGCCCATGCCCGTGTGAGAGTCTGCAGGGCGATCCGCAGCATGGGAAAACGAGAGCACGCACATGTGGGTCAAAGTCCTCATGGATGTTCCTTGGGGTCTATTTGATTTGCGGGAAGTGCCCCATCGGAAAACAACCGTATGAAGATCCTCAATCGTGCCAGAGCACCATTCCTGGGATTCCCGCGCCGCGAATCAAACGGACTGTTGCGTCTTAACAGTCGTAGATCGTGCCAGGACATCATTCCTGGGACTTCATCACAGCGAGTCAGTGTGACTGTAGCGTCCTGCCAAGTCTCAACCGTGCCAGAATATCCTCTTTGGGGCTCCAACCACACCAGTCTTTGATACTGTTGCAAACTTTCAGGACGAATGTGCGCGGCTCTAAGTCGAGAGCCACATTTGAAAGTCACCCGCCCTCCATCCGTGAAGCTGTTGCGAACTTTTCAAGACGAGTGTGCGCGGCGCTAGAGCGAGTGCCACACTTTGAAGACCACCCGCCCTCCATCCGTGAAACTGCTGCGAACTTTTCAAGACGAATGTGCGCGGCGCTAAGGCGAGCCCCACATAATGAAAACCACCCAGCCTCCATCAGTGAATCTGTCGCGAACTCTTAATGCGAATGTACGTGGCGCTATTGTGAGAGCCACATTTTGAAAACCACCCGCGCTGTATCCGTGACTTTGCTGCGTATTCTTGGGGCAAATGTGCGGTGGGCTAAGACGAGAGCCACATTTTGAACACGGCCCGCCCTCCATCTGTGAAGCTGTTGTACAAGTCAAACCTCAGGATCAGAAATCGTGAGGAAATCCCAGGCGAAACGCCTGGTCCACGAGGAGGAACTGACGGATGAGGAAGACGAGGAGGAGGAGGAGGAGGAGGAGGAGGAGGAGGAGGAGGAGGAGGAGGAGGAGGAGGAGGAGGAGGAGGAGGGAGGAGGGGAGGAGGAGGAGCAGGAGGAGGAGGAGGAGGAGGAGGAGGGCGAGCAGAAAGGTCAAAGGCCTCTTGGATGCTTCTCGGAGTCTTTTCGGATGTCTCTCGAGAGCTTCTTGGAGAACTCTTGGGGCGTCTTGGGGGGTTTTGGAGCGTTTTGGAGCTTATGGCGGTCCCGGGGGGCTCTTGGAGCGTTTTGGGTGCTTCGCGGGAGCCTCTTGGGGCCTCTTGGGGGCCTCCTGGGAGGTCTTGGGGGCCTCTTGGGGCCTCTTGTGGGCCTCCTGGGCGGGCCCCTTCTGGGGCACTCTTGGGAGCCTTGGGAGGCATGCTGAGGCCAGCTTGGAGGAGTTCGATCAAAGAACGGCGGGCCCCCCAATGAGGGCTGCTCCTCGATAGCACCTAGCATCGCCTCTTTGGGCGCTCCTGGGCGCTCTTGGGGCTCTCTTGGGCGCTCTCCTGGGCGCTCTCGGGGCCGTCTTGGGGCCCTCTTGGGCTTTTCTTGGGGCCCTCTTTTGGGCCACTCGGAGCTGTCCTGGGCGGTCCTGAGGCCTCTTGGAGCATCTTGGAAGCTTTCTTGAGCCATCTTGAGGCACCTTGAGCCATCTTGGAGGTCTTCTTTGCTTTCTGAGGCCCTCATGGAGTCATCTTGAACCACGAAAGGCGTGTCTACGATCCGCGGGGCGCCCCGTCCAGGTCCAGGGGAGGGGGTAAGGGGGAGGAGTCCAGCTGATTACCCACCCGCCCGCAAGCCGTCTAGCTCACACCCACCCGCCCTCCCAACACAGAAGTAACATCCGAGCCTGAGCATGTTCAGCGGTCGTCTTTGGATGGACAGCTACTGGGAACCAAAGACGACCCCAGGTGCGCGACGTTTTGGCGAGGTGCGCCACGCGTGCCAGGGGCGCCACGCGCGCCAGGCACCCCTGGGACCCGAGCGTGCCAGGCGCGCCTGGTGCGCCAGATGCGCCACGTGCTCCGAGTGCGCCAGGTGTGCCGCACACTCCAGCGCCGCCAGGTGCGCCACGTTCGGGGCACTTGCAGAGTGCGTCAGGTGCGCCTGCGCACGTGACAGCACACATCGGGAAACATGTCGGCCCCACCGTCCTTGGCGAAAGCCAATACCCATCATTGTGTCTGGTGGGCCTGCGCACAGCAGGCCACGCGCCAACACCCTCGCCGTCCCTGTCAAAAACCACTTGACAATGATCGCGGGATGGCCGCGCATGATCCAGATTTGGCCGCGAGGTGCATGTTGTATTGTTTCGTTAGGGATGGTAACCCTGCGCGCAGCAGGGAATATGCTGACACCCCCGCAGTCCCTGTCAAGAACAAAACAAAGTGCTCGCGGGTCTCACGAACATGACTCAAGAGTTTGCCCCAAAGTGTATTTTTTTTGAGAGGGATAGTGGGGGGCTGCATCGAGTTGGCCGCGCATGCTCCACCAAATGTGGAGGCAGAGTGCGTTTTGTATGGTTTTTTGAAAGGGATGGTGGGGTGGTGGTGGTGGCCCTCATGGGGTTGGTATGGTTCCGGGTTGGCTGCCCGCCGGATGGGGGAAGGGGTATATATATATATATATATATATATATATATCAATAGGGAACAGTGGTCAAGCTACCCAAGCCGCAAGCCGTGTCGCTCATCCCCACCCGCCCACCCGGTACATAAGTAGCACTCGAGTCTCAGCACAGGCAGCGGCCGCCATCGACAACCATCGGGAACCAATGGAGACGCCAGCCACTTGCGCGATGGCCTCGAGGTGCGCCGCATGTGCCAGGTGCGCCACGCGCACCAGCTGCGCCACACTGGGCGATACGTTGACTGCCCCAGCATCCTTGTCAAAAACCAATGCAAAACGACGGCGGGCTTGCGATCATCGCGTGATGTGTGTGTGTGTGTGTGTGTGTGTGTGTGTGTGTGGGAATGCGGCGGCAAATCCCCCGTCATCCATGCCTGGATGGCTTGTGGCTGCCATCTGCTGCGGGACCTTTTGCGGCCTCTGAGTGCTCAGGCGTTCCTGGTCGCGCGCGCGCGTTGGCTGCTCTACGACCTTCTCCGCCTTGTCGCCGCGCGCAGGGCCGCGACGACAAAAAAGTGCGCCAGCAAACGCGTCGCACCTGTTCTTGACAGGCGTGCTGGGCCTGCACACTGCGGGCTGTACGCCGCCCCCCCCCCCGCCGTCCCCGACAAAGTGGACGTTTTTTTGTGTTGCATGGGATGGTGGGCCTGCGCACAATTGCGAGGGATGGTGTGGGGGGGCTGGCGTTGCACGCAGCAGGCAAACGTGCCGGCCCCCCCGCCGTTCTTATCAAAGACCGTTGCGAAGTGATCGCGGGGCGTGGCTTCGTACGGCTTTTTCTGACAGGGATGGTATGGGGGGGGGGGGGTGGCGGTACTGCACACAGCAGGCAATATGCTGGCCCCCCCGCCGTCCCTGCCAAGAACCAGTGCGGACTGATCGCGGGGCGTCCGCGCATGATGCAGATTTTGGTGCAAAGCTCCTGAGAGGGATGGTGTGGGCGGGGAGAGGCAGTGCACCCAGCAGGGAAGATGCCAGCCCCCCCGCCGTCCCTGTCAAAAGCCACTGCCAAGTGATCTCATGATCCAGATTCTGGTGCAAAATGCACTTTGTATGGTTTTCTAACAGGGATGGTGTGGGGGGATTGGCATTGCATTCGCTGAGCAGGCCTCATGCCGACCTTTTCGCCGCCCTTGTCAAAATCCATTGCAAAATGATCGCGGGGCGTCTGCGCATGATCCAGATTTTGGTGCAGAGTTCATTCTTGTCATAGCCCAGGGCTTGTTGCTGGTCGGGTGGGGGAAAGGGTGTATTTTGATCAGGAAAGCTGATAAACCATTTCCCGAAGGGGAAGAGGGAAGAGGGGAGAGGAAACGCGCCAGACCACCTCCGCCTAGAGGGCCGGTGGGGTTTTTGCGGGTCGGCAGGGTCCCAGGGAGCCGTGGGGAGGGGGGGGGCGAGGGTGAGCCGTGGCCCCCGCGAGGTTCCACCGTGGCAGCGACAGCGGATGGCTGGCGCCCGCGCTGGGGGAGACGCGCGGGCCCTAATTAGCTTCGCCACCGCCGCCACCGTCGTCGCCGTCGTCGTCGTCGCCGTCGTCGTCGCCGTCGTTGTCGTAGAGGGGGACCGGCAGGGCGAGGCGGGAAAGGCGAGCGAGCAGGAAGAGCAGGACGAGCAGGACGAGGCGGGCGACGCGGGCGAGGGCGAGGATGACGAGGTTGACGATGCGATGCGGGCGAGCACGACGACGCAGAGGAGGAACACGAGGCGGACGACCAGGACCAGCAGGACGATCAGGGCGAGGAGGGCGAGCAGGACGAGCAGGACGAGCAGGACGAGCAGGACGAGCACGATGAGCAGGACGAGCATGGCAAGGAGGGCGTGGAGAGCGAGAGCGCCAGCCGAGGTGGGGGCACCAGCCCAACACGCAGCTGCAGCTCGAGAGGGTCTGCCAAAGCGCGATGGCCAGCAGCCCCCTGGGCGTGGCGACCATCACGAAGTCCGCCGAGCTCGCCGCTGGCCGCATCGACCTCGGCTGCCAGCGCCAGCGCCCAGGGCACGCGCAAGTCGTGGGCGTCGCGTAAGGGGGGGGCGATAAATGGGGGGGCAGCGAGGGCTGCAGAAAAGGGGCCCCCTGGGGCCCGAAAAGTACACCTTTCCCCCCCCCCCCTCCCCCCATCTATCGCGCCCCCATTAAGCGACGCACGTAAGTCATGCCCCCCCCCGAGACCTGGCCGAGGCTTTTGGACGTCTCTGCAGGGAAGCTGGAAAACGCGGCTGGGGCCAGCCCCTTTCGCTCTTTCTGGCCTTGGCTACATAGGTGTTTCCATATTTCTATATATATATATATATATATATCACATCTGTCTCGGGTTCGCTCGAGCATCGGCCAGTTTTTGCAGCATGGGGCGCTCCGGACACGGCCTCGCCTCCCTCCGGGGCGCACCCTCGCCCTCCCCCCATTTGGAGGGCCGGCGGGCGGCGGGCGGCGGCCCGGCACGCCGCCTCCCGCGCTGCGTTTTGCTTTGAGCGGTTTGATCGTTGTGTTTTTCGCGCCGTGTGCTTCTTGAGCGGTTTTGCATCGTTCTCGCGGTCGTGAATCGGGGGGTCCGTTTGCCGCGGGCCCAGTCTGTCGGGGGCCGCGGTGGGGAGTTTGACAGACCAGGGGAGGGCTTCCCTGGTCGCAGCCAACGCGCCTTCACAGCGGCGGGTCCGCTGGCGAGAGGTCGGCGCAGGGTCGGCGGAAGGCAGCGGTCCGCACAGAAGCAGAAGCGAGACGTCAGCATTGATTGGATCCGGGGTTTCTGGAGTCGCTCATTCGTCAGCGGGCTGCAGGCGTCCATGGTGCTGCGCGGCTGGTCCTGAGGCCTGAGCTCTGCAGCGGGTGGAGGGGTGGTGGTTCTCAGGATGTGGCTCTCGCCTCAGCGCCGCGCACGTGTGTCCCAAAAGTTTCCGTATTTTCGAGGATGGAGGGGTGGTGGTTTTCAAAACGTGGCTCTCGCCGCAGCGCCGCGTACATTCTTTTAAGGTTGCAACAGTTTCACGGATGGATGGCGGGTGGTTTTCGAAGTGTGGCTCTCGCAATAGCGCTGCGCACATTCGTCTTTAACAGTTTGCGGCAGTTTCACTCGGGTGGTTTTCAAAATGCGGCTCTCGGCTTAGCGCCGCGCACATTCGTCTTGATAGTTTACCGCAGTTTCACGGATTGAGGGTGGGGCGTTATCGAAATGTGTCTTTCAGCGCCGCGCGCATTCGTGATAACAGTTTGCACACTTCTCACGGACGGAAGGTTGGGTCGTTTTCAACATGTGGCGGTCGCCCCAGCGCTGCGCACATTCGTTTAAAACGTTCGCACTAGCTTTGCGGATGGAGTGCGGTTCCTTTTCAACATGGGGCTCTCGCCTCAGCGCCGCGCGCATTTATGTTTAGTCCAACTTTTAGCAGGACGGAGGACGGCTCTTTTTCAAACTTGAGTTATCGCCTGAGACCTCGATAAGTTGAAGGGCCCGGAACTTCAGCGCGCGTAGCGCTGCCCGGATCAATTGCGGATCTTCAAAAAAGGAGCTGTCGCTTGAGATTTCGCGGTTTTCTTGACTACAAATGTATGCTTGTGCAACACTGGCACGGGTGGGGCGGCCCTTCTTCGAAAGGGGGATGTTGCGGGACACCTCGTTACATGTATGATCCATGTGTTTTTTTCGCGTTCCTGACTACGCTCCAGAAAGATACAAGGCAGTCACTTTTCAAAGCGGGGCCCTCCAACGGCAGGCCCAACGGTGCTGGTCTTTCAGGGGGGGCGCTTCTCGTAGTCAAGAGGAGGACTTGTAGGGGCGTGTTAGGGGTGGACTTGGGACGGGAGAGTGTACTGCAGCATCGTTTATACTTCTTTGGTTTACTCTGGGCCTCCTCCTTCCTCCTCCTCCTCCTCCTCCTTCTCCTCCTCCTCCTCATCCTCCCCCTCCTATACCTCTTCATCCTCCTCCTCCTCCTTCTCCTCCTCTGCCTCTTGGCGGCGAGCGAGGGAGGGAAGTGGGAGGGAGAAGGCCTTCTCAGAAGGCGGCGGGGCTTCTCAGCTGCCCTCCGGCCTTCTCCGAGAAGTCCTCCGTGTCTTCGGGGAAGGCCCAGGGAACATTTTCCCGAAGGCCCGAGCACTTCCGAGCCTTCTGGGAGGGCCCGCCCCTTCTCCTTTCCCCCCCCGGGCTCGCCGCCGTGGATCGTTGCTGCAATCTTTGAGCCCCTGGGGTCTCCCACGGGGCCCCGGGACTGCCACCAGAACGAGTCTTGGCACCGTCCCTTCCCCATACTCCTCCCTCTCCCACCCCTCTTCCTCCTCCTCCTCCACCTCCTCTTCCTCCTCCTCCTCCTCCTCCTCCTCCTCCTCCTCTTGGCGGCAAGAGGATGAACGGCCCGTCGCCGGGGAATGAGTCAGGACTCCAGTGGGGCTCCATCTTGCAGAAGTGATGTGTATGGGATCTCTGTGGGGGAAGTTCTACCAGCCCGACGCATATCCTTATCCCCAAGGTTGGCATCGCCGCATCCCGGTGCCGTTCTTGACGACTCTCACCCAGCCTCTGAGGGCACATCCCCGAAGCTGCCATCGCCGTGGGCTCGGTCGATCTTGGGGATAGGGTTAAGTCGGGCCTGTCCCTTCCCTCTACAGGAGGAATATTCAAGATTAGCCAACAAGATAGTATCGGGACTATTTGTCGAGTTTTTTTGTTGGGATAGTTTTTTGCATATTTTTTAGGTACTTCTGATTTTTCGTCCGAAGTCCGCCTGTAGGGGGACATGCCCGACCTAAGGATAGGGGTGGGCTCGAGGCTGGTTAGGGATGGCCACCTGTCGGGGTGGGGGGCTTCAGTTGCGGCCCCGAAAGCCATCAGACCTGAGCGAGGAGGAAGAGGCGGGTACTCGTGGCCCTTGGGCGCTTCTGCCGCCCTTCCTTGAACCTCCGCGGCCCTCCGGAGGCCACCGAAGGCCTCCGGGGGACTGCAGGGGAGATCTCCGGGACCTCGGGGGCCTTCGGAGACGTGGGGACCTCGAGAGGCCCCTGGGCACCTCCGGAGAGAGCTCCGGAGCCTTCCGAGGAGCTCCGACGGTCGGAAGCGCCACTGCGGTGCGGCGACCACACCGCCGAGTGAGTCCGTGTCAGCCACGCGCAGGGGGGGTGGAGGGCTTCTCAGAAGTGCCCCCGCTTCTCAGACGGCGCGGGCCTCGTCTGCAGACGCAGGGGCGCCGTCCAAGAAGCGGCCTCCCTCTGAGAAGCCCTCCCCCCCCCTCTCCCCTCCCCCCCCCTCCCCCCTTGCCTCGGATGCCACCTCCTGACCTTGTGCGCGCCGCCAGCCGTGGGGCCCGCTCGGGGTGGCCGTGCTCCTCCTTGGGGCCTGGAGCCTTCTCCGGCCACGCCTCGGGCGGCGGGGACCCACCGGGGACCCCGGCCCGTGCGGCGGCGGACCGCGCGGTTAGGCCTCTTCCGAGGGGGCCAAGGACACACAAATAGATACACACAAGTAACAGGAGTCCCCATCTTTTCACATATTTTCGGGGTTTCTGTCTTCCCCTCCACTTCCCATAGTTTCCCATATTTTCTGGGGAATCGACGATTGATTGTGTCTGTGTGTTTTTTCCCTCCTGACTCTTGGGATGTTGAGGTCACCGCCCGGTCTCTCGTCGCTCGGAGGTTGGTAGACTCAAGTCGGGCCTGTCCCTCTAACAAGAATAGTCCAAAAACAATATGGGGATGGCCATTTTTGCGCATTTTAGGCGCAGTTTTCGAGTATTTTTGATTTTTCGCCCAAAATCCCCCTGTAGGGGGACAGGCCCGACTTGATGATAGACCTCCTACCCTGACGCGTCGATTAGCGAATTGGCCGTTCTCGGTTCGCGAGAGGGCGTCGCGGCCGTCACTTCTGCGGGTCCAGGTCCGTCGGTTTCGGTCCTGGGCTGCTTTCCCCACAGGAAGGTTTGCTAAAGAGAGGTCTGTCCACCGCCGAACCGCTCCGGTTTGGGACCTCCAAGATCTGCGCGTCGTGACCGCCTCCCACTCCTCCTCGCTCTCTGCCCGCCCCCCCCCCAGCCTGGTCTTTTCCAGCTCCGCCTCCCACCTCCTCCCTCGCCACCTCCGCTCTCTCCCCGCCTGCTTCTCGCCGTTTGTCCTCGCCGTCGCGGCGTCTTCGCCCCGGCCTCGGGCCCCCGGGCGCTCACGGACGAGGCCCGGCCCCCGAGAGATTCCCGCGAGACGGCGGGGGTCGGGAGCCCAGGGCCGTGGCTGCTTTGCCGGCGGAGTGTCTTCTTCACGACAGTGGGGTCACGGGGCCGCGCTCACGGTCCCTTTTTCCGCGCACGCTCGTGGGGTAAGAGGAGCGACGCTCGCAGAACTCTTGGAGGTCCGCGCGGGCCTCGGAGCAGAACTCTTGGAGGTCCGCGCGGGCCTCGGACAGTTTGTTCTTCTTCTTCTTCTTCTCCTCCTCCTCCTCCTCCTCCTCCTCCTCCTCCTAGCTCGTGCTCGCGCTCACGCCTTCGCTGCCGTTCGTGCAGAGCCATCGCTCGTGTTGCGTGCTCTTCCTGATACTCGTGAATCGTTCCCGCGCAAGAGTTCACACCTGCATGCGCGTCGTACGCATCCTCATGAGCAAGGGTTCCCTACCAGTGGTGACAAGTTTTTTGACCATTCGTTCAAGTGTTGTCATATGGCTGCTCTTGTTGACGTCCATGGCTGCATCTATGTGTGTCTGTGATTATGCCAGTGTCAATGTCTGTGTCTGAGCCTATGTGTATGCCAGCGTGTCTTCTTCGTATACAGATTTTGATGCGGTAACTCGAGGTCAAATGTATGGCCGTGTTTCAGATTGCGCGTATGGTAATTTAGGTCGTTGACTGGTGACCGTGATCGTGGTTTGGGCTGATGTGTGATCGTACCACTCCTACTACTCCTGATACTCCCACACCACCACTGTTTGTACTCACATTCGTAGTCGTGCCCTTCATTACTAATCTCTCCTGCTACTACTGCTCGCACGGGGGCTCCTACTTCTACTCCTACTTCTACTGCCAGTCTTGCTTCTCTCAATCCCGGCCCTGCTCATGCTTCTGCTCCCGCTCCTGCTGTGCACTTCCCATTTTCTTTCTCCCTCCCCTCCTGCCTCCCTTTCTTCTCAGCCCGAATGCCGCCTCGAGGAGTTCGAGGCGTTGCTGCGCGAGTGCGTGGAGACGCGCCCGTTTTCCATTGATTCTTATGTTATGGGAGGGTGGGAGTGGGCGAGGCCCGCTGACTCGCTCGAGCTACGATTCCTGCTTTTGCCCATGCTGCTGCTCGTGCTCCTGCTCCCGCTCTCCTGCGTCTCTTCCTGCTTCTGCTCCTCTTCTTATCATTGCTCCCTGTGTGCGTATGCATTCCCCGAACCGTGCTTGTGCTTGAAGTCGGGACCCAGGAGTCCCAGACGGCGGAATCAAGGGCCATCACCTGCCCTTCGTTCAACTCAGAGGCAGGGCCGATCTGATCAACGTCCGAGACGTGCGACCTCTTCCTTCTCCTTCTCTTCTTCTTCTTCTTCTTCCTCCTCCTCCTCCTCCTCCTCTTCCTCCTACTCTTGCTCCCCACTCTCACCGAGGAGCGCTGGAGTGCGGAAGTGCGGGAGGTGGAAATCGGGGGTGGGTGGGGGGGTGCAGGGATTCTGTTTTGTTTCGGCCGCATTTGCGTTCATCTGTTTCGATCCGCCCGGCTTGATTCACCCGTTTCGACGCATCCGTTTCGATTCGCCTGTCTTGAATCATTTGGTTTTGATTTGCCCAGGTTTAACATCATTTGTTTCAAATTCGACTTCGCCCAGGCTTGGCTTCGTGTGGTGTTGATTCGCCTGAGTTTCAGCGCATCCCTTTCGATTCGCCCTTTTTAATTCACCCGTTTCGCTTCGCCCCGTTTCGACTCACCTGTTGCCGATTCGCCCGGCTTCGATTCGCCCGGCCGAAAGTCTCTTGGTTCGTGTTCGCCGTTTTGTTCGACCGACTTGCGTATATTTCGCTCAGTTTTAGTGCTTTGTTTGCGCGCGGCCCATTTTAAATGCACAGTTTTAATGCTCAGTGTTATTTCGCGCTGTTTCCCTGTGGCCAGTTTGACCTCGGCTTGCTCGAACTCGGCCTGGCGCTGCTCTCCCGGGAGGGCCCCCTTGCGCCGCGGGGCCCCCCCCAGCGGGCCCGCGTGCCGGCGCCGGGGCCCGCGGGAAAACGAGAGCGGAATTCCTCGGCCACGCGCACAACGGGGTACGGGGGAGGGGGGAAAGTTTCTTGAAAGAAGGAGTGTGCTTCTCAGAAGGCGCAGGCCTTGCAGCTATAGATGGGGCCTGCGCCTTCTAAGAAGCAGGCTCCTTTCAAGAAGCCTTCCTCCCTCCCCCTACCCCCTTTGTGCGCGCCGCCAGATTCGCACGGCACCCCGCCCCCCAGCACCCGCGAAGGTCGGCGACCGACCAAGAAAAACGGGGACCGAGAATGTGCTCGAAGTCGTGACCGCAATGGTCGACAAGAAAGGGAACTAATCGCCACAATCACCACCCACCAAACCACCCCAACCCAACCCGAAGGCTCAGATTTACCCTCGATTTCCAGCGGGGGGGGGGCGGGAAACATCGAAAAAACGCATGTGGAACCCTTACCCCCCCAACCCGAAATTCGGGTCTTCGGGTTGGGTTGGGGTGGTCTGGTAGGTAGTCGCACAAACATATAAACTTGTTGGCGTTCCGCGCTGATTGCTCGGGTCCGCGTTGGGCCCCCATCGGCGGCGGCGCCGCCAAAAGTTTGGTGCTCATGCCGTTTCTTCGTGTTCTACAAAGGTTGTGTGACCGAAACTGTGACCGACGAATCGTCTTGGCTTCGAACCAAACAGTTCGGTCACTCATGGGCGCGGTCGGAAATTTTCGGGCGCAGGCCTCAGTCACACCCAGGCGGAGATTCGGGCACAGTTTCGGTCACGACGACTCCGTGATAGAGA